AAACCACCTCTGGCGAAGAAACGCTATATGGTGCAGAATAATAATAAATATTTATTAAAACCGCCAAAAGCTGGCTGATAGTCAGTTTTGCAGGAAAATGACTCCAATAGTCATGAAAAACCTGTGTTTATACAATATAGTGAATTTGGCCTGAACATTAACTAAACTGAACTAGTTTCCATTACATACAAATAATAGGTCAGAACAATCACCAAATCAAAGGATGGCTATATCACAGTCAATGTAGCTATAATAAAAGAAATATGTAAAACAAATCACAGTAATGTAACAATATTTGTATGCAAATTTTTCAGTATTTGATATTAAATTTTTGACTTTGCTCATTGCGCACCGATGTGATGAAGCTAGCACGGATGGTTGAATGTTTGAATGGATCAGCCACTTTATTTGCATATTTGCACATTTGTGGCACTTGAGCTCTTATTTGTTTGTCCATGAGCTTATCTTTGATTTTAAGGTAGTCAGTGTGCCGTAACGTAGGTACGCTCTCTCCTATTGCTATGTCGTTGCGTACATTGGGACAATTTGCGTTCTCATTAACGATGTCATACATAAACACAATTGAAGCGTTCACTCTCCAACGTTCCAACGAAGTCATGCTCAAAGCCTCAAGTCGCTTGTTGTATTCGGTGGTGTTATATCCGTTGGCTGCTGTACGATATTCTCTTCGGGCGAACTGTGTGAACTTTCTCAAAACGCTCTCGATTTTGTCAATATGTATGGCATAAGTTGGCAGCCATACAACGTTGCAGTACTCAAGATGAGACTGAACCAATGCGTAATGCAATGTTTTGAGCGTTTGAACATCGGTGATTTCGTGGCAAAATCTCTTGATGAATCCAAGAGCAGCTGTCGCCTTCGATGTGATTGCGTCGATGTGTTTGACAAAACTAAGCTTCTGATCAATGATGACGCCGAGATCTTTGTGGTCCAATACGCGCTTGAAGGTGAAATCACCGTATTTGTAATTTGCGTCGATGATGTCCTTCCTTTTTGTGGTAAGTGTAAGGACGGCGCATTTGTCAAGGTTCAGGTGCAAATTGTTTACGTCGCACCAAACCTTCAGTTTATCGATGGCCCGCTGTGGCACCTCCGCTTCGGTGCTCGAGTTGATGATTTTGGCGATTTTTACATCATCGGCGAACAATGAAATGAACACGTCGTCCATTCCATCCACTATGTCATTGATGAATAACAAAATTAGTGTGGGTCCGAGATGACTTGTCTGTGTGTCGCCAGATGATACGTTGAATTCGTTCGACTCGCTGCTCCCGTACTTAACGAATTGAGTTCGAATCGAGACTGTTCGATTTGACAGATATGATTCGATCCAAGCAAGAAGATTGTCTGGCAGGTTGAACGATCTGAGTTTCAGAATCAATCTCTTGTGGTTAAATCTGTCAAACGCTTTACTGAAGTCCGTGTAGAGAAAGTCCACTTGCGCACCTGAATTTATGCCTCTCTGGGCATAGTAGATAAATTCGGTGAGATTAAATGCAGTGGATCGTTTATCATTTCCGCGGGAACCGCGGAGGCTAGACGGTATACCAACATACTTTCTTTGAACGCAGATAGAATCAACAGAAAACATACTTTCCTTTTCAAAATATAAATCGAGAAAAAAACATACATTCTTTTACGTCGGACGAATAGAATTGATTTGAATATTTTTTCGTCACGAAGCGACCGCCGAAGCCGAGCGAAGCGAGGCGAGTTAGCTAGTTCCCAATAAATACTAACATCTTATACATTTTTTTAGATAATAAAAAAGGGAGATATTATATGAATCTTCTGAAGGCAAAAGTAGGATTACGCAATCGATTGGAGGTTAACGATGATCCGTTTGTATTTAGTAAAATTGGCGCAGCATATGACACAAAATATCCTGTTTTTCCATCCGAGTGGGACCAATACTATATTCACGAAATGCAATATCGACGCAGAAAAGCAAAGATTGGAATGAAATCGTAAGTTTAGTAATACTAATAATTATAATCAGATGTAAATCAAATTATGATCAAAGTAAATTCTCGTGCCGAAATCAAACCCAAACGAAATGTGATAATGAAAAGATTTGTAAGTTGAACCACCCATTTCATATTTTGAGTTGGAAATATACCGAAAGAACGAGGAAAACGATTGGATTTTTGACAACTTCGATATTTTTATGTACACACACATATAAATACGTATGGTGGATTGGAAAACGTCATCAATGAACTATACTAACATTTGGTGTAGCAAGTTCATCGAATGTGTGATAATATTCGATGACTTCGAAATCGTATGAAAAACCACACAAGTGTTGACAGTGCAAACACACGATTTTTTCGAAATATTCCTTTGGATAACAAATCGTGGATGAAGCCTAGGCTTTGCAGAGCCCAAATATCAACAATAAAAGAAAATAAATAAATATAATTCCCAAGCAAATAATGTATATAGAATGTATGGCGTTTCCAATCTCACCACTGTTCACCACAATTAGTCAAAGCATTAATAAGAATGAAGCATGACAAAGTGACTTTGACAGCACACGCATAAGAATTGTTGTCATGTTTACAGTGGGAAACGTCAATGCAAAATCTCCAGTATCCAGTTTCAGTCTACTACGTGTTGAAATAAAATCAGCGTCCTAAACCATGGACACGTTCACAGGTTCATAACGAGTGGGCACGACACATAGTCGTGAGGTTAAACCACGATATGGGTCGTGACCATGAGGCACGACATATGGTCGAGACCAGATGGCATGACATCTAGTCGTGATTAGTAGTGTCGTGGGGGCACGACATAGTCGTGAGGCATGATACGAGATCATGCATATGAGTGGTCGGGAATAAAAATGACTGAAGTTGAACCACTTATGGATAACCGTAACACAATATTCTAGATTTTTAAAAGTTCAACATAAATTCTGTTCGCTTGTAAGTCAATCGTAAAATATCTGTGGACTATAGAAATCGTGTTTCACTTTAATTGAAGCAAAAATGTTCGATACACTTTCAAGTACATTGGAATGATGATTCATTTTAATGGTGGTTTTGGTTGTGATTTGGCTTCGGAGTGAAAATTAAGTGATAAGGAGCGCGAATTTCGATGTGCCGATAATACCATTGGATTGGGCAGATGAAATACTGTAGGAAAATCGACTGCTTTGTTGATGTGTATAACAATACGGGTAAAACACCGGCGCTCCGAGGTTTTCATACAAACTTCCCGTGTAGACGATCGGAAACAGGCAAAAATCGAAAAAAAAGTTAAAGAGTTTTAAACCTGCTATAGCAAAGAATCGTGCTTTTTGACAGATGTACTAAATTGAATGTTTTCTGTGTCGTCATCTGTTGTCGGTTATACTAATATCTTCTCGTACGGTTCTGATGAAGATTTCATTTATTGTTTATCCAATTTTATACAAAATCACTTCTTCTTCAT